TCTATTGGTAGGTGGCGGTACTCACCACAAAGTGTCTATTGGTAGCTGGCAGTACTCACCACAAAGTGTCTATTGGTAGCTGGCAGTACTCACCACAAAGTGTCTATTGGTAGGTGGCGGTACTCACCACAAAGTGTCTATTGGTAGGTGACGGTACTCACCACATGATGTCTATTGGTAGGTGGCGGTACTTACCACAAAGTGTCTATTGGTAGGTGGCAGTACTTACCACAGAATGTCTATTGGTAGTTGACGGTACTTACCACAGAATGTCTATTGGTAGGTGGCGGTACTTACCACAGAACGTCTATTGGTTGTTGACGGTACTTACCACAGAATGTCTATTAGTAGGTGGCGGTACTTACCACAGAATGTCTATTGGTAGGTGGCAGTACTTACCACAAAGTGTCTATTGGTAATAGCTGGCGGTACTCACCACAAAGTGTCTATTGGTAGGTGGCGGTACTCACTACGAAATTTCTATTGGTAGGTGGCGGTACTCACCACAAAGTGTCTATTGGTAGGTGGCTGAACCTACCATAAAGTGTCTATTGGTATGTGGCGGTACTCACTGCAAAATTTCTATTGGTAGGTGACTTTACTCACTACAAAATGTCTATTGGTAGTAGCTGGCGGTATTCACCGCAGAGTGTCTATTGTTAGGTGGCGGTATTCAACACAAAGTGTCTATTGGCCGGTGGTGTACTCACCACATGATGTCTATTGGTAGGTGGCGGTACTTACCTAAAGTGTCAATTGGTAGTAGCTGGCGGTACTCAGTACAAAGTGTCTATTGGTAGGTGGCGGTACTCACCACAAGGTGTCCATTAGTAGGTGGCGGTACTCACCACACAGTGTCTATTGGTAGGTGGCGGAACCTACTATAAAGTGTCTATTGGTATGTGGCGGTACTCACTGCGAAATTTCTATTGGTAGGTGACCTTACTCACTACGAAATGTCTATTGGAAGTAGCTGGCGGTATTCACTACACAATATCTATTGGTACGTGACGGTATTCAACACAAAGTGTCTATTGGTAGTTGGCAGTACTTACCACAAAGTGTCTATTGGTAGTTGGCAGTACTTACCACAAAGTGTCTATTGGTAGTTGGCAGTACTTACCACAAAGTGTCTATTGGTAGTTGGCAGTACTTACCACAAAGTGTCTATTGGTAGTTGGCAGTACTTACCACAAAGTGTCTATTGGTAGTTGGCAGTACTTACCACAAAGTGTCTATTGGTAGTTGGCAGTACTTACCACAAAGTGTCTATTGGTAGTTGGCAGTACTTACCACAAAGTGTCTATTGGTAGTTGGCAGTACTTACCACAAAGTGTCTATTGGTAGTTGGCAGTACTTACCACAAAGTGTCTATTGGTAGTTGGCAGTACTTACCACAAAGTGTTTATTGGTAGGTGGCGGTACTTACCACAAAGTGTCTATTGGTAGCTGGCGGTTCTTACCACAAAATGTCCATTAGTAGGTGGCGGTACTTACCACAAAGTGTCTATTGGTAGTAGCTGGCGGTACTTACCACACAGTGTTTACCACTATAGAGCTGAAAAAAGAGTGCTTTCAAAAAGGCGGGGGGGGGGGGGGGGGGGAAACTGTGTAGCGCAAAGAGAGAGAGGGAGAGAGTCTTGTACACCGACATACTGGATCGATTTAGCTGCCATGGTACTTCAGTAAAAGGACGAACAGTGCAATGTTACAGTTTGTGATGCTTTGATCAGCCTTTGGGTCTGTAGACTTTCATTGACTGTTGAAGACTCAGTCAGGTGACGTCACTACAGAGAAGCTTGGCTTCACCACTATGTACATTCATTTCTTACCTTCATTAATCAACCACGGTCTCATTCAAAGAACAAATGTGCTACTATGCGTGCAGTGCAACTCTCCTTCTCTCTCTCTCTCTCTCTCTCTCTCTCTCGCTCTATCTCTCTCTCAATCTGCCATTGCTCTCTCTCTCTCTCGCTCCTCTCTCTCTCTCTCTCTCTCTCGCTTCTCTCTATGTTTCTCTCTTTGTCTCTCCATGTATCTCTCTGGGTCTTTTTCTGTCTCTTCTCCCTGCCTCCGTGTGTATGTCTCTCTCTCTCTCTCTCTCTCTCTCTCTCTCTCTCTCTCTCTCTCTCTCTCTCTCTCTCTCTCTCTCTGCCTTTTTATCTCTTTGTTGTCAGTTTCAGCACCCCCACTCGCATGAAGTCAGATTCCTTAAGAGTGATACATAGGAGAAACGGCGTCAGGTATGAAGACACCCCTATCTAGTGTCAGCGACAAGGCGCTCATGGTCGAACGGTCAAGAGCGCTGGACTGTCATGCGAAAGACCAGGGTTTGAATACTCGGTAAGGTTGTGCAAAGTCTTTTTTACTGTCTCGGGTAAAAATGAAATTTAAACGCTCCACTCCACCCCCCCCTCTTTTGCCCCCCCCCCCTCTTTTGCCCCCCCCCCCCCTCCCTTTTACTTGCACACAATTTGTGACCCTTTTGAAATACAATTTTTTCGTTCTCTCTTTCTCTCTCTCTGTCTCTCTCTACTCCCATCACAAAACGCATTCTATATCGCATGCTTTTATCAACACTTTGCTCGGGGAAATAACAAGCTTGTATACTTCGTGTACATCAGAGTGCAAATAAATTCTACTTTTTTATGTTGTCAAGAAAAAATCTGTTTCGTTCCACCTAGTCCTAGTTTTGGGTTTCCTCATTTCTGTGCTTTCCATGACAAGAGAGCTCCACAAGTATGTCCGCCTGCTAGTCGTGAACGGTGAGTCTAGCAGACAGTCTCTCCTCGTCTTGTTCTCTCCTCGTCTTTTATCTACACGTCGCTTGTGCTTCATTTTACAGGTTGAGTTGTTGATTGCTGTGTTAGGCAATTCTATCTGGTTGTTGTGTGTGCTTGCTTTGCTGGCCAACTGCCATGGCGTTTGAGAGCAAGAGAAGGACAAGTCTTGAAGACTTCCATATGTGTTGGTTTATCATATGAATAATTGAATAATAATTATTAACAAAAGATTGAAGAGATGTAGGAATTAGATGGTAGTTTAAAAGCATGAGCAAACAGAGCAGCAGTCTGGGAGACAGGACAGTAGTCTGAGAATGAGCAAACAGGTCAGCAGTCAGACTGTGAACAGACAGGACAGCAGTCAGACAGTGAGCAAATAAGATAAAAGATTGTCTGAAACTGTCACTGATTCGCTGTCCCATACTTTCACCTACTTGCTACCCCAGACTTTCACTTACTTGCTGTCTCACACTTTCATTGACCTGCTATTGTATACTTTCACTGACCTGCTATTGTATACTTTCACTGACTTGCTATTGTATACTTTCACTGACCTGCTATTCTACACTTTTGCTAACCTGCTATTGTATACTTTCACTGACCTGCTATTCCAGACTTTCACTGACCAGCTATTCCACACTTTTGCTGACCTGCTATTGTATACTTTCACTGACCTGCTATTGTATACTTTCACTGACCTGCTATTGTATACTTTCACTGACCTGCTATTCCACACTATCACTGACCTGCTATTCCACACTTTCACTGACCTGCTATTCCACACTTTCACTGACCTGCTATTCTACACTTTTACTGACCTGCTATCCTACACTTTCACTGACCTGCTATCCTACACTTTCACTGACCTGCTATCCTACACTTTCACTGACCTTCTATCCTACACTTTCACTGACCTACTATCCTACTCTTTCACTGACCTTCTATCCTACACTTTCACTGACCTGCTATCCTACACTTTCACTGACCTGCTATTCTACGCTTGTATACTTTCACTGTCATGTTATTCTACACTTTCACTGTCATGTTATTCTACACTTTCACTGACCTGCTATTCTACACTTTCACTGACCTGCTATCCTACACTTTCATTGACTTGCTGTCACACACTTTCATTGACTAGCTATCATACACTTTCATTGACTTGCTGTCACACACTTTCATTGACTTGCTGTCACACACTTTTATTGTCTTTCTGTCACACACTTTCATTGGCTTTCTGTCACACACTTTCATTGACTTGCTGTCACACACTTTTATTGACTTTCTGTCACACAGTTTCATTGACTTTCTGTCACACACTTTCATTGACTTTCTGTCACACACATTCATTGACTTGCTGTCACACACTTTCATTGACTTTCTGTCACACACTTTCATTGACTTTCTGTCACACACTTTCATTGACTTTCTGTCACACACTTTCATTGACTTGCTGTCACACACTTTCATTGACTTTCTGTCACACACTTTCATTGACCTCTTGATGGTTTTCAACCAAAAGTGGGTCTGTAGGATCAGTTATAGACAACCAGTTTTGAATACATTTAAGCTACTTTAATTGCATGTCTTCTTCAGAATGTCACCAACCAACCCCCTTATTTATTGTCTGTTTTCTTGTTTTACTCAGCAGATTTAACTTGTTGATTTTGCTTTTTGAATGGTATGACTCTCATATCATTCCAAGCATCAATACAAAGCGACAAAATGCCATATTGCTTGTAGCTGACTTTGAGCCCAAGTATTCAGGATTATGAAACTACTGAGCAGGACTATTTTTAGCAGGAAAGCTAAGATGCTGGTACTCACAGTGGAATTGATCTTGAAAACATTTTCAATTTTGTAAAATATTAGGCCTAAAATTAAAAGGTGCAGGTACTGCTTACAGTTGCGTACCACCTGAAAAAAGCCTTGCTCCTAGACCACCTATTGAATTTCATTTATTTAATAATTTTGTATTTCTGAATAAATGTGACTAATTATTAGTTCTTGTTTGAAGTGTTGCTGCAGTATTGGCTTGTGATAGCTAATGAGTTCAGAAATGTGCTTTCTGTTCTAGACATTTCACAACTGTGCAACAAAGTCTTCACTTGTGGTTGCATTTTCTGTAGCAGCACCATTGATGTGATTTTCTGTACACCTTGGAGCTTGGTGACCCAGCAGCAGAGTGCACTTGAACTGGGTGGTTAGCCTTTGGACATGCTTCACAGGTAGGTTCCTCTCATTCTTGTGAGCTGACTGATTGTTTCATTTGCTTTGTAAAAGAGAGGGAATGAAAGCTGATTTTTCTGGCTACAAAATCAAAAGTTACGGGAGCGCTCGTACTGGACAAGGGAGACCACATATGAAAGACTTTTGACAGAAAACACGAGATTAGATGAAATAACATGTGCAAGAATGTTTGAACGAGAAATTAAGTGTGGATCCATCAAGGAGGGATGGATGGGAGGAAGGGAGCGATGCTTGAATAATCAGTGTGCTACAGGAACAGTTAGCATATACACCTTAGGGCATTTGATTTAAGACCGAGCATCTGTGGGTATGCCTGGTGTGCTATGATGTTGATTCTTAAATCAGTAGATCAGCTTTGCAAAAGAGCATTTTCATTGTACACGAGGGAAGTGTGGGACAGTAAGTTAGCACAAAATTTGGGACAGCAGGTTAGCAAAAGTGTGGGACAGCAGGTTAGCAAAAATATGGGACAGCACGTCAGTGAAAGTGAAAGACAGCAGGTTAGCAAAGTCTGGGACAGCGGTGATGATTACTTAAACAGTTCACTGAAAAATCGACTGTTTCTAATAACATACCTCTTGTTTATTTAAATTTAGGTCATTACCTCGCCTGCGCTGTGTCTTGAAACATCTGGTGAGTTTTATTTCTGGGTCATCACTTTGTTGGTTACATAATTTTTCTGTGCGGTCAGGCAAAAACAAAAATGTCTAGGAAGATTCTGCCATTGACACATCAGGAATTACATGCTAGACAGTGCAACTGTATGTTATTGTTTTTTTCTAGAAGAAAAGATGCCAGTAATTATCACAGTGTCTAAACTTGTGCCAGTACTCACCTCAGTGAGTCTATTAGAGTGTCTAAACTTGTGCCAGTATTCACCTCAGTGGGTTCATTAGTGTCTAAACTTGTGCCAGTACTCACCTCAGTGAGTCTATTAGAGTGTCTAAACATGTGCCAGTATTCACCTCAGTGGGTTCATTAGAGTGTCTAAACTTGTGCCAGTGCTCACCTCAGTGGGTTTATTAGAGTGTCTAAACATGTGCCAGTGCTCACCTCAGTGGGTTCATTAGAGTGTCTGAACTTGTGCCAGAATTCACCTCAGTGGGTTCATTAGAGTGTCTAAACTTGTGCCAGTACTCACCTCAGTGGGTTCATTAGAGTGTCTAAACTTGTGCCAGTACTCACCTCAGTGGGTTCATTAGAGTGTCTAAACTTGTGCCAGTATTCACCTCAGTGAGTCTATTAGAGTGTCTAAACATGTGCCAGTATTCACCTCAGTGGGTTTATTAGAGTGTCTAAACATGTGCCAGTACTCATCTCAGTGAGTTTATAAGAGTACTGCTGATAAAAATTATGCCTAAAGACAAGATGTTGGTACTGCATTCCGATTGCATGGTACTTGGGAGGGGGGACATGTTGTTACACCAACATTATATTGACCAGTGGACACTTGGTGGGTGATGTGGTCAACAAGTCAGCCAATCTCTGCCTGGTCCAGACTTCAGGCTACTTCTAAACTGTTGGGGGCCCAAGTAAACTGTGCGATTGAACAGGGCTTCTTGGGATATGTACATGTAGGATTCTCTTCATTGAGGTGTTAATCCTGCGGCTTCAGTCCTGGAGGGGACAGACTGCAATAGAAATCAAATCAACATTATGCCAGGACAGAGACATAGTTAGATCTTCTTCGTCTTCTTAGCATTCACTGGCTGTAAACTCCAGGAAAAAGTTCCGGCTGTTTGCCCACTTCTGAACTTTGGTCTGTTTCAGAACCTAAGTTTTGTGTGCACATTTGTTTAACAGATCTGGCTTATTTGTATGCAGAATGTTGATTCCTGGCCTTTCAGGCAGATGTACTCCAACTTTGAAGGAAACAGAAGTTAAGTGGAATGAGCAATTAAAAGGGCACTCAAGATGAATTTTATTACATAAGTGATGAAGACGATACCAGTTGAAAAGACTAGAGCTGCTCAACTTGCTGCCTCCTCGCTGTGCCACTATAAAAGGCAACTAAATCATCATCATTATCATCACTCAGTAGGTCCTTTACAGAACATAACTCTTATCACGACACACCTGAAAGTCTCTCTTTCTCCAGCCAGTTCTCTAGCCCTTTATGACTTCATAGTACATCGCTCTCATGACAGCACACCTGAAAGTCTCTTTTTCTCCAGCCAATTCTCTAGCCCTTTATGACTTCATAGCTAGTACATCATTCTCATCACGGCACACCTGAAAGTCTCTCTTTCTCCTACCAGTTCTCTTGCCCTTTATGACTTTGTAGATAGTACATCATTCTCATCATGGCACACATGAAAGTCTCTCTTTCTCCAGCCAGTTCTCTAGCCCTTTATGACTTCATAGATAGTTCATCATTCTCATCATGGCACACATGAAAGTCTCTCTTTCTCCAGCCAATTCTCTAGCCCTTTATGACTTCATAGATAGTACATCATTCTCATCATGGCACACATAAAAGTCTCTCTTTCTCCAGCCCGTTCTCTAGCCCTTTATGACTTCATAGCTAGTACATCATTCTCATCATGACACACATAAAAGTCTCTCTTTCTCCAGCCAGTTGTCTAGCTTTTCATGACTTCATAGCTAGTACATTACTGTCATCACAACACACCTGACAGTCTCTCTTTCTCCAGCCCGTTCTCTAGCCCTTCATGACTTCATAGCTAGTACATCATTCTCATCATGGCACACATGAAAGTCTCTCTTTCTCCAGCCCGTTCTCTAGCCCTTTATGACTTCATAGCTAGTACATCATTCTCATCATGGCACACATGAAAGTCTCTTTCTCCAGCCCGTTCTCTAGCCCTTTATGACTTCATAGATAGTTCATCATTCTCATTATGGCACACATGAAAGTCTCTCTTTCTCCAGCCCGTTCTCTAGCTTTTCATGACTTCATAGCTAGTACATTACTGTCATCACAACACTCCTGACAGTCTCTCTTTCTCCAGCCAGTTCTCTAGCTTTTCATGACTTCATAGCTAGTACATTACTGTCATCACAACACACCTGACAGTCTCTCTTTCTCCAGCCAGTTCTCTAGCTTTTCATGACTTCATAGCTAGTACATCACTGTCATCACAACACACCTGACAGTCTCTCTTTCTCCAGCCAGTTCTCTAGCTTTTCATGACTTCATAGCTAGTACATCACTGTCATCACAACACACCTGACAGTCTCTCTTTCTCCAGCCAGTTCTCTAGCCCTTTATGACTTCATAGGTAGTACATCATCAATGTCTTCTTCTTTTTCTTTGTGTTCACTGGCTGTGACTTCCGGCAGAAAGTTATGTTTGTTTGTCCATGTGGACTTCTGGCCTTGTACCAAAACCTGAGTTTTGCATGTACCACTGTTTTACTGGCTTATTTATGTTCAGTTCTTGTTCGCTGCCTCTTGGGTAGATGTATTCTGACTTGGAGGGAGTAAGTGTCTTGTATCCTCTTCGCTGATGTCTACCACCATTGTACTGGTTATGTAACATAGACTGTCATATGTAAGAAATAGAGAATGTTGTTTGTCATACATAATAAACAGGCTGTTGTTTATTACACATGGTTTACCTGTATATCTGTCTCTAGAGAGCTGTGCAGATGTCGTCCAAGGCAGATGAGGAGATACTCTTCCACACAAACAAAAGTCTTGGGGTGATTACATTGAACAGACCTAAGGCTTTGAATGCTCTAAATCTGTCCATGGCACACAAAATTTACTCACAGCTGTTGGTATGTATTTAGAGAATGCTCAGTTTTGTCCAGCACATTTTCTTATTAATAGCTAGAAAAAAAAAAAAGTTAGTATTCTACAAAAAAAATTCTTAAACCAAAAAAACAAGCAGGAGGGAAATAAGGGTACAGAAGAAAATGGTCGCAGATAGGTTAAGAACCTAATGTTTTCTTCTTCTTCTTTGCGTTCGGTTTCGTATGCTCAGATCAGACCATCAGGTGGGTTGCCTCTATAAACTCGCATGTCAGCTGCAGGTCCTGCATGTTTCCCCATAGCTTGCTCTGCACACTTTGCTCTTGAGGCCAGGTTTCTTTTCGAAGTTGCAGGTAGAGTGGGCAGGTCTGCAAAATATGCTCAGGTGTTTGGGGTCCTGTTTGACAGGCACACTGCGGGGACTGTACAATCTTTATTTTATGCATGTGGTAGTTGAGCCTGCAGTGTCCTGTTCGTAGAAACTTAATGTCTGAGAAGAAGTATGTTACTCATACATACATGTGATGACAACAATGGTCCTGATGTCCTGTGTTTTAATTGTGGAAGACATGTCTTGAAGTGAGCGGGTCTTGCTAGTCACACTCACCAACACCATGGGCTGTTGTGATTCTCATACCTCCCTAAAACACTACCTAATTGCTGTCATCTGGAAGGATAGAAGGTGCTAGCAACAACACACTGTAATTAATTGTAACAACTTTCTTTGTGTTAATTTATCGTAACAAATCCCCGTGTGGGTTCCATAGCCCCATTATGGGAAAGACAAGAATAGACTGACTGCCTTTCCAGCAAGCATGTCTTAAAAGAAGACTAATTGGGAACTTCCTTCGAAGTCAGAGTGTATCTGCCCGAGCGGCAAGGAACAACCAACTTTACACAAACAAGCCGGTGAAATAAATGTACACGCAAAATTCAGGCCCTGGTACAAAACCAGTGTCCAAATGGACGAACAGTTAGGACTTTTCACCGGAGCTTAAAGCTGGTGAACAATAAAGAAGAAATTCTGCCGAGCAGGTTTATAGTAAATAATTGTAGTAATTTTGCATTTGGTTCAGTTGTAAAGTCTGAGGTGTTGCTGTTGTTGCTTTATTGACAGAATTGGGAGGCCGACCCAAACATTGGCTTGGTTCTCATCAAGGGGGCTGGGGACAAGGCTTTCTGTGCTGGGGGGGATATCAGAGGTGAGCTGTTGGCAACAACCAAACACCTTTTTTTATGTTAACATTGCATAGGAAGACGTTACTGTTGTGGGAATATCTTAAGTGTTAACACTGTCTACATAGGGAAAAAACTTTCTTGTTACGAAATATCTTAAGTGTTAACACTCCATAGGCAGAAAACTTTCTTGTTACAGGAATATCTTAAGTGTTAACACTGCTTATGGAGAAGACTGTTTTACAATGGGGACATGTTATGCCAGTAACTGCCACACAAAAACTGATCACTAGTTTTTTTTTCATATATTTCGTTTAGTATTTACTAGATATTTTTTCTTAAATTGATGATTAATCAGATGGTATCTCTGTAGTCTTGCTCCACATTTTGTCTTGTAAGACACTTTATGTGGGTCAAAATTGTACTCTGTCTGTCTGTCTGTCTGTCTGTCTGTCTGTCTGTCTGTCTGTCTGTCTGTCTGTCTGTCTGTCTGTCTGTCTGTCTGTCTCTCTCTCTCTCTCTCTCTCTCTCTCTCTCTCTCTCTCTCTCTCTCTCTCTCTTTCTATTTCTCTCTCTCACACATACACAGCTCATTTGTCTTTCTCTTGCTCTCTCTCTCTCTCCTTCCCTCACTCCTTCCATCTGGCCAGCAGGATTTGGTCGGGTAAACTGTTCCCATTAAACAGGGTTTACTCTGTGGCCTACTTGAGTCCGCCCCACAGATATAGCCCCTCTGAGATACACTGTTTGTGTTCACCGGCTCTAAAACTTGAGTTTGTCTGCATATACATTGTACAAATCTGGATTACTTGTATGCAGGCTGTTGGTTACTCACCTCTCGAGCAGATGCACTTTGAAGGAAACACCCTAATTTGTCTACTTTTGTGACATGCTTGTTAGGAGGGTAGTGCCCCCCCCCCCCTCTTTTCCCCCAATGGGATCCCAGAATCCATTCGTGAAGAAATAAAAAACAAGGTACCTAGAAATTATAAGAAACAAACACATGATGTCTTTTTGTGTTGTACCATGAGAAGAGCTGTGGAAAACATGAGATGGCTGGACAGATAAGTGTTGGCTGAGACAGTGGCAGAGCAAGATAATTTATGGTGGATAATCTAAGATATGGTTACCTTTGTCTCTGATGCTCTTCACTGACCACATGTTAACTGTTACATTTGTCTCTGACACCCTTCACTGACCACATGTTAACTGTTACCTTAGTCTCTGACACCCTTCACTGACCACATGTTAACTGTTACCTTTGTCTCTGACACCCTTCACTGACCACATGTTAACTGTTACCTTAGTCTCTGACACCCTTCACTGACCACATGTTAACTGTTACCTTTGTCTCTGAAACCCTTCAGTGACCACATGTTAACTGCTTCCCATAATTTGTGCATGTTTTCTTTTCAGCGGTCACAGAAGCTGGCAGAAAGGGGGAACCTCTTGCCCAGGAGTTTTTCAGACAAGAGTATATTTTAAATCACAAAATTGGTAATTTGTTTTACTTTTTTTTTAGGACAAATCTTATGTTGCTCCAGGAAAAGGTCATGGTTGTTCACCCACTTCTGGACTTTCATCTGCTTCCAGGAATTAAGTTTTGCATGCACATGCGTTCTTCAGATCTGACCTATTTTAATTAAAACTGTTAGTTCCTTACTCCCTAGGCAGATGTACTCCGGCTTTATAGGAAACATCCTGGGTTAGTTGACTTTTCTGAAGTGAGGGAGACTGTGGGCCTGTTCTCCCCTCCTCCTTTCCATAGAACCCCAGAACCCACATGCAGACATCTGAGATGAAAGGCAGAATAAGTGACTGGGTTGTGTCATTTCTGACCGATACAGCTGTGGGGTCAATCAGCTTTGTCTTGTGGCTTCCTATGTTTTGTAAAATGAGGCAGAAAGCTTTGTTGAGGTTTTATGACAGGGCTGTTCAACTGTCAGCCCACAGGCCAAGTCCGACCCACAGGCCAATTCCGGCACACAGACCAAGTCCAACCCACAGGCCAATTCCGGCCCACAAGCCAAGTCCAGCCCACAGGCCAAGTCCGACCCACAGGCCAATTCCGGCCCACAGGCCAAGTTTAGCCCACAGGCCAAGTCCGGCCCACAGGTCAAGTCCGGTCCACAGAGGCAACATGGCACCAGATCAATGCCAGTTATATTTTATTAACAATTTCTCTACGCTGGAACTTGAGCCTCTGACCCACGATAAGCTCTATTTGCAACATTTTGGCCCCCAAGTAACCTCAGCTGAATAGTCCTGTCTTTTGTCTTCATGTGTTCTGTAGAACAGGGAAGAGAGACTTGATGAGGTCTTACCAGTGGTAGCACTGGGACTTACCAAGCATGTCAACGTTACCCTGTACAGGAGACAAACTTTGCTGCAAAATTCAACCAGTTATGGAGAGCCATGTTTGAGGGTCTATCCTGGATCCAGGGATAAAAGAAGAAATAAGAACACGGTGTTGAAACTGAAGAAAGAAGAAGATGAAGGTAGTCAAGAAGAAGGAGGGAGATGAATCGTAGGAAAAGGGATAACAATGGTTGTACTAGGAGACAGAGATTACTGTTGGTATGAAGATGAGAGCGATAATATAGTAGTAGGAAGAGGGAAGCACCATTTGTGGCAGAGGCTGCAGCAGTTGTTGTTGTTTGAAAGGGTTATCATCACAGGTAATTCAGATTTCCTACACCATATGGGCCCCTGCAGACCATGAGGCCCCAAGCTGTAGATTATTTAGCTCATGCCTAAATTCAGCACTGCCCTTGGCTGTTTGCTCGTTGGTGAAGTCTGTTCTGTAACTATGTCATCTTATCCTTTCCAGGCAACTACAAGAAGCCTTATGTGGCATTCATCGATGGAATCACCATGGGTGGGGTCAGTACTGTTATATTATCATTTCATGGCACAAGATGCTGCTTGGAACTAAGTCTGAAAGAGTTATTGCTGTAGTCTTCTTTTTACACATTGATTATAATCAGTCATTCCCTTTGGGGTTTATGAAGTTAGAATCAAGTTAATTACATTCCCTTCCTGATTTTTTGTTTCCTTTCCATAGCAATACATGTATCATTCATGCCCTGCTTGCAAACATCTTTATATCGTACAGGCCACCCTAAACATATTCCACACATCTGTAATTCATTAGACAGGATGTCCTTAGGAATTCTCCCTTTCTTTATCCTCCAAGTGTGTTCTTTGATATGTCTTCTTGTGTATACCTCTTTGATATGTCTTCTTGTCTACACCTCTTTGATATGTCTTCTTGTGTATACCTCTTTGATATGTCTTCTTGTCTATACCTCTTTGATATGTCTTCTTGTCTACACCTCTTTGATATGTCTTCTTGCCTATACCTCTTTGATATGTCTTCTTGTCTACACCTCTTTGATATGTCTTCTTGTGTATACCTCTTTGATATGTCTTCTTGTCTATACCTCTTTGATATGTCTTCTTGTCTATACCTCTTTGATATGTCTTCTTGTCTATACCTCTTTGATATGTCTTCTTGTCTATACCTCTTTGATATGTCTTCTTGTCTACACCTCTTTGATGTCTTCATGTCTGCTTCTCTTTGATGTATCTACTTGTCTGCTCCTCTTTGATGTGTCTACATGTCTAAGATCTAACCAAGTGGTCAGTGTCTTCTTTTTTTTTTTACTTAAGAAGTCATCTTTGTTGTGTAACATTATCTGGAACTTGTTTAATTGTTTTGAATTATCTGAGCTAGTTGTCGTTGTTAGTGATACCACATCTCACATGATTATGAACACATTCATACATGCCTCCTCATGTTTCACCACTGTCAGGACCTTATAATGATATTGAATGACTGGCCAGATTACCGACATATGATTTATTCCCTACAGACAAAGTATATGTGTGTCTAAGGCAGACAGCCCTGAGTCTTTTATAGTCCTCAAGGCATCAGTGTTCAGCAAGGATAGAGATTCTGTACCAAAAGATGCTGTACACCTTGTTCATTCCTCCTATTGCCTTCACCAGCTGTAAAAATTATTCGTCCATTTCTAAACTTTAGTCCTGTTCCAGTTTGAGCTTTGCATGCAGTCCGTTTTACAGATCTTGCTTAATTGTATGCAGACTGTTGGTTTCTCACCTCTCAGGCAGATGCACTCCAACTTGAAGGAAATTCCCCTAATTAATTATTCGCCTTGTATGACATGCTTGTTAGAGTGTCAGTGGGGAGGGGGGGTCTTCCCCGAAGCCATAGAGGGGTACTAATAGTTCATTTTGATGTGTCTATTGTTTTTAATAGTCGTGCTTGTTTGTTTTTGATGCAGGGTGTTGGTCTGTCTGTCCACGGCATGTTTCGAGTGGCCACCGAACGAACCATGTTCGCCATGCCAGAAACAGCAATAGGTACGCCAGTTTGTCTTAGAGATGGTCTCATACCCTGGGTTTGTGCGATAGAGGTTTCTATTGGTGCTACTGCCGCCTTCTGTTCTTGATCCTCAGTTGAGCATCGGCTGTCACTCAACTCTTGCAGAGTTATCTGTCCTTTACCACCCAGTGTCCTCGTCTGTTTCCCTTGTTCTCTCATTATTTTTTATGTCTGTGTTTTTAATCTGCCTTTATTTATTTGACATTCAAATACAAATGTCTGAGGGAAATGATGAAAATAAAATGGGATGCATTCAAAAATGAGTGAAGAAATAAGAGAAATGTCTGGGCAGCCACTTGTATCAACAGTTATAAGACATAAGATGGCACTAGATTGGACACATTCTGAGAAGAAACCAACAGGGAATTACCAAACAGTGAATAAAATAGGAATTAAAGCAATTAAGGAGGCGAGGATGCCCAGAGGGAACTAAGGTGAACCTTGATGAGAGAGGCCAAAGCTGCTAGACTGGATTCTATACATGATATTGAGCTTATTGCACAGGATAGAACAGAGTGGAGGAATAGACTGTGAGCCCTATGTGACACAGGATAGAGCAGAGTGGAGGAATAGACTGTGAGCCCTATGTGACACAGGATAGAGCAGAGTGGAGGAATAGACTGTGAGCACTATGTGACACAGGATAGAGCAGAGTGGAGGAATAGACTGTGAGCCCTATGTGACACAGGATAGAGCAGAGTGGAGGAATAGACTGTGAGCCCTATGTGACACAGGATAGAGCAGAGTGGAGGAATAGACTGTGAGCCCTATGTGACACAGGATAGAGCAGAGTGGAGGAATAGACTGTGAGCCCTATGTGACACAGGATAGAGCAGAGTGGAGGAATAGACTGTGAGCACTATGTGACACAGGATAGAGCAGAGTGGAGGAATAGACTGTGAGCCCTATGTGACACAGGATAGAGCAGAGTGGAGGAATAGACTGTGAGCACTATGTGACACAGGATAGAGCAGAGTGGAGGAATAGATTGTGAGCACTATGTGACACAGGATAGAGCAGAGTGGAGGAATAGACTGTGAGCCCTATGTGACACAGGATAGAGCAGAGTGGAGGAATAGACTGTGAGCCCTATGTGACACAGGATAGAGCAGAGTGGAGGAATAGACTGTGAGCACTATGTGACACAGGATAGAGCAGAGTGGAGGAATAGACTGTGAGCACTATGTGACACAGGATAGAGCAGAGTGGAGGACTGTGAGCCCTATGTGACACAGGATAGAGCAGAGTGGAGGACTGTGAGCACTATGTGACACAGGATAGAGCAGAGTGGAGGACTGTGAGCACTATGTGACACAGGATAGAGCAGAGTGGAGGACTGTGAGCACTATGTGACACAGGATAGAGCAGAGTGGAGGACTGTGAGCACTATGTGACACAGGATAGAGCAGAGTGGAGGAATAGACTGTGAGCACTATGTGACACAGGATAGAACAGAGTGGAGGAATAGACTGTGAGCACTATGTGACACAGGATAGAACAGAGTGGAGGACTGTGAGCACTATGTGACACATGATGGCACAAGAGGACAATGAATACATTTCTGTGACCCTAAAAAAACGTAAAGAGTACACCAGTGGCGCATCAGGCCTATGACGCTGGATGCAAATTTTAATAGATAAATCAGCACGCGATGGAGGATGTAGTCAACATCATACCAGCCGCCTTTACTTCCCAGGACATTACCTGGTCTCCATAGTAGTTGTTTTGAAAGAGGTGAGAGCACAAAGACAACTTATCACAAACATCAGAGGTAGTCCTCATTCTCTGGGCCATGTTATCAGAAGAAGGAAACTGGAACATGGAACTACTAGAAAAATGTTGTGGTAAAAGAGACAGAGGATGATAACAGGAGAAGATTCTTGACTGTGTTTTGTCATGGCATGAAAGGGTTTCAGCACATGAGCTGATACATGTTGTTACAGATGACAGATTGTGGAGAGGCATGATCACCCATGCCAGTTGGCAAGACACTTGATGATGTTGATGTTAGGCTGGGTGGGCTTGGGAGCCTAGGTCAGTTCTGAAAACTCTGACTGAACATGTGAATTTGAACCCAACACCTTCAGCCCAGCAGGCGAGTATCTAGCTGCCATGCTACATGGCTGTTTGTGTTGCAGGTGTGGTTATTTGTTATAACACTTATCTTTGATCCCAATGATAGAAATAGCCTCCCCTTTATATGTTCCGGGACCCCATGGGGGGAGGGGGTGGGATAGACCCACTGCCCAATAACAAGCATGTCCTAAATGCAACTAATTCAGTTTTTGCTGAAATTTCATGTGTTAAGTTGAGAGGCACAAATATCACTACCTAGCTGTAAACAACACAACAACATCCCAGCTACCTTTGTAAGGTTGTAAGAGTGAATGAAGAAGAAGAAAGACCTGAGTCCTTCTGTTTAAACATCCTAAAATGAAACAGCTGGAAGGGCATGTTTTTTGTCCAACTGTTGAATACCTTTTTGTCAGGTTTGTTTCAAGACACACTCTTTCTGTGTTTAAAAGTCCCAAACTGAAAGACCTGAAAGATGGTTGTCTCCAACTGTTGAATACTTTTTTGGCAGGTTTGTTTCCGGATGTTGGTGGGGGCTACTTTCTCCCGCGGCTGGATGACAACTTGGGAATATTCTTGGCCTTGACCGGTTTCAGGTTAAAATCTCGGGATGTGAAACACATCGGCATTGCCACCCATTTTGTGGAGTCTAGTAAGGTGAGTACTGTGTCGATTTTTTAGCAGTTTGCCCATACAGGCAGTCCTTCATTGAATTCATAAATTGTGCGAATGAGTTACTATTTTATAAGTGTTTTCCGGGCATAGTCTGGTCATATTAATTTCTTTGGTGTTCTAAATTCCTGCAGATCTATCCACACATTATTCCTATTACGCTGTCATAGGCCTTAAAATAAAATTTTCAGAAATGAATGAGAATGGCAAATAGAAACCGTACACAAATGAGTTGAATGGGATAGACTATGAAGCAGACCAAGAAGGTGATGCAGCAGAGATAATGTGTAGGCAGACTTATAAACTCTTCAAGTCACAAACTGGAATGAGAGGGCCAGCTACAGAACAAACGAACAAACATTATTTTCAAAGGGTTGCAAATTGGGCACACAGGCCTGTCTTACATTGGGCCCTTCCAGACACTCATCTTTCACACAGCAGTTGTAGTTTATCAATAAAGCATTTTATGTTCATTTAACAATATGCATAATATGAGTATCAGGGGGGGGGGGGGGGGGGGAAGCATGGATGGTATATGTATGCCCACTCATACATTCACTGACTCACTCACTTACGTACACACACACATACATACTTACATACATACATACACATGTACATATACATACATAATTACATACATACATACATACATACATACATACATACATACATACATACATACATACATACATACATACATACATACATACATACATACATACATACATACATACATACATACATACATACATACATACATACATGCATGCATGCATGCATACATACATACATACATACATGCATGCATGCATACTTACATACATACTTACATACATACATACATACATACATACATACATACATACATACATACATACATACATACATACATACTTACATACATACATACTTACATACATACTTACATACATACATACATACATACATACATACATACATACATACATACATACATACACACACACACACACACACACACACACACACACACACACACACACACACACACACACACACACACACGTGCACACACACACAGACACACACCCATGCCATATGGGTAAGACACTCTCATATATACCCTCATGTATACACATATACAAAGATGAATGGAGGCAGATGATACCTGCAGCACTGAACCTCAAGGGCTGGGAATGAAGAAGAAAAAGATAGGGAAACATATAAAAGATAGCGGCCAATTATTGATTAACGTGAAAACAGCTTTCTCTGTAGCACTAGGAAATATGTAGAAGTCAAACTAAAGTCAAAGGTCAGCAGCAAACATGGAATATTGAACTCCTGTATCCAATCACTGCCACTCTGCAGATCAGAAATATGGAGAATGGCTACAATAATTGTTCATAAACTGCATTCATTCATCTTCTGCTTTTGTCCTGAGGTCCATCACATCCAGTTTCAGCAGGGCCTTAGTTAGGGGCCATTTGTAGCATACTTATGGGCTATTCTTTCTCTGCACATTAGAATAGACCCCAGAACTTGCTTGGGAATCTAGAGTACTTCCAAGATTTGCTATTTATGAGTCAGTTTCCATATTTTCAGTTTTCATGTAAATATTTGTCATTTCTTTGTTTCGCATAATTATGTTTCAAAAAAGTGTGACCTGCAACTTTTAAGAAGTTCTTCGCATTCACTGGCTGTAAATTCCGGCTGAAAGTCTTTGTTGTTTGTCCAGTCTTGTTCCAAAGCTGAACTATTTCATATCCACATCCGTTTTACCAGGCTTATTTTTATGCAAGCTATTGGTTCCTTGCCACTCAGACAGATGCATTAAAACAGAGCACCCCTAATTGGCTGACTTTTACAACATGGCCGTTGGGAGCAGAGTCTCCCCTCCCCCACCCCAGTGGGGTTGTGGAACCAGCACTAGGAGTCTCAGCTCAAAGGCCTTGAATATTTTCTTTGGTGTTTGTGGAATGGTTTACACTCATTGCTGTATAATCCAGGAAAGATATGTCTTCTGTAAATGTTTACTTTTGTTTGTTTACCTTGCTTTGCCACAGATTATTAATACTGTATTGGATACATTTTGCTGAACTTTTTCTTGGTTCGCAGGCCGATGAGCTGCAGCAGAGACTGTCAGGCTTGGGTTCGCATCCTAGCAAAGACCAGGTGGCATCTGTCCTTGAGGAGCTGCAAGCTCAGGTGATTGCTCACTGCCATTTGACATGTTGATGTCTGCACACAACGGCAGCTGTGTGACAACTGTTGATTTTGTCTGCACACAACGGCAGCTGTGTGACAACTGTTGATTTTGTCTGCACACAACGACAGCTGTGTGACAACTGTTGATTTTATCTGCACACAACGGCAGCTGTGTGACAACTGTTGATTTTGTCTGCACACAACGACAGCTGTGTGACAACTGTTGATTTTGTCTGCACACAACGGCAGCTGTGTGACAACTGTTGATTTTGTCTGCACACAACGGCAGCTGTGTGACAACTGTTGATTTTGTCTGCACACAACGACAGCTGTGTGACAACTGTTGATTTTGTCTGCACACAATGACAGCTGTGTGACAACTGTTGATTTTGTCTGCACACAGTGACAGCTGTGTGACAACTGTTGATTTTGTCTGCACACAATGACAGCTGTGTGACAACTGTTGATTTTGTCTGCACACAACGACAGCTGTGTGACAACTGTTGATTTTGTCTGCACACAACGACAGCTGTGTGACAACTGTTGATTTTGTCTGCACACAACGACAGCTGTGTGACAACTGTTGATTTTGTCTGCACACAGTGACAGCTGTGTGACAACTGTTGATTTTGTCTGCACACAGTGACAGCTGTGTGACAACTGTTGATTTTGTCTGCACACAATGACAGCTGTGTGACAACTGTTGATTTATTCTTCTGCCCCACCTGCTCACTTTTTTCCGTGATCATATATTGCCTCTTTTCTTTCTTACAAGTCTGTCACCTGTAATGTTTTCAACCCACGCTTTACTTTCTGTCCCTCACTTGTCTGTTCACCCCTCCTCTGATATGCCTGTCTGTTCTCCCATCCTGTAACATCCCTGTCTGTTCTTTCTGGTCTGTTCTCCCCTTCTGTGACATCCGTGTCTGTTAACTCTAGTCTATTCTCCCAGCCTGTAACATCCCTGTCTGTTCCCTCTTGTCTACTCTCCCCTCTAGTCTATTCTCCCATCATGTAATATCCCTGTCTGTTCCCTCTAGTCTGTTCTCCCCTTCTGTAACATCCCTGTCTGTTCCCTCTAGTCTGTTCTCCCCTTCTGTGACACCCCTGTCTGTTCCCTCAAGTCTCTTCTCCCCTCTAGTCTATTCTTCCATCTTGTAACATCCCTGTCTGTTCCCTCTAGTCTCTTCTCCCCTCTAGTCTATTCTCCCATCTTGTAACATCCCTGTCTGTTCCCTCTAGTCTCTTCTCCCCTCTAGTCTATTTTCTCATCGTGTGACATCTCTGTTTGTTCCCTCTAGTCTCTTCTCCCCTCTAGTCTATTCTCCTGTCATGTAACATCCCTGTCTGTTCCCACTAGTCTCTTCTCCCCTCTAGTCTATTCTCTCATCGTGTGACATCTCTGTCTGTTCCCTCTAGTCTCTTCTCCACTTTAGTCTATTCTCCTATCATGTAACCTCCCAGTCTGTTCCCACTACTCTATTTTCCCCTCCTGTGACATCACTTTCTATTCCATCTAGTCAGTTCTTCCCTTTCTAACATCCCGGTCTGTTCCCACTAGTATATTTCCCCCTCCTGTGACATCACACCAGAGTCACACCACGCAAGAGATTGAGACCTCCACATCAAAACCCCATAGTTAGCGGTAGATACATTGCTGACAACCTCCAATTTTTAAGTTGCCAATTAGCTTTTTTACTGACTGACCTGTGTAAGTGTTTCTAAATTTTAATGACTGACCCTGTTAGTGGTTGACTATTTTACTGATTGACCCATGTAAGTGGTTGTCTGTTTTACTGGTTGACAGGTGTAAGTGGTTGCCTGTTTTACTGATTAACCCATGTAAGTGGATGTCTGTTTTACTGATTGACCTATGTCTGTTTCACTGATTAATCTGTGCAAGTTGCCTGTTTTACTGACTGATCTGTGTAAGTGGTTGTCTGTTTTACTGATTGATCTGTGCAAGTTTTTGTCTGTTTTACTGATTGACCTGTGTAAGCATTTGTCTGTTTTACTGATTGACCTGTGTAAGTGGTTCTTTGCCTAACAGATTCATGTTGTTGCTTTGGTCAGTCAAAGGTGGACGCAGACAAAGAGTTTACTCTGAAGCCACACCTGGACAAGATCCACCAGCTGTTTGCTGGCTCAACCATGGAGAGTATATTCGAAAGTTTAGAGCGGGACAATTCGCAGTGGGCCGCTCAGCAGCTGCAGATACTGAAGAAAATGGTAGGATACATTCAATGTGTGACTTGGGTCTTTTATTGATGATGGCATCGGGTATTCTATTATATGTCTCTGTTTCTATCTGTTTGTAACTGTTTCTGTCTGTAACTGTTTTTATCTGTTTGTAACTGTTTCTGTCTGTTTGTAACTGTTTCTGTCTGTTTGTAACTGTTTGTAACTGTTTCCGTCTGTTTGTAACGGTTTCTGTCTGTAACTGTTTTCTGTCTGTTTCTATTTATTAGTAACTTTTTCTGCCTCCTTCTAACAGTTTCTAACCGTTTCTATCTGTTTCTGTCTGTTTCTGTTGATGTCTTTACTGCTACAGTAATGTTTGCAGTTCCACTGTGATGATATAGTGTAGTTCCAAATTGTTGGTAGTTGTACATTGTCAGCAGCTTCATGGTTACTACATTAATTCGACATTAATATCATTAATATTCCACATTAATATCAACAGTTATACTGTGACTCCAGCTTTCTGCAGTGATAATTAGTATCTCTACAATGATATCAGGGGTTAGACAGGCTTTTCTTCATTAGAAAATGTTAACATTTCTGAATCCTCGAAAATGTGGAAAGTTAAAATAATTGTTGGTCTCATCTCAGTCCCCAACATCTTTAAAGATCACATTAAGACTTCTGCTTGAGGGCAAGAAACGCTCGCTGGCCGAGGACCTGGTTGTTGAGTATAGACTCAGCCAGAGATGTATCGCAGATAAGGACTTCTACGAGGGCGTCCGAGCTGGTCAGTACGTTACCTTCTGATTGTTAGTTTGCTGCATTTATTTTCTTTCAGTTTTTTCTACCATTAATTGTTCAGAAGATAATTTGTATTATTTAATTTTTTCGTTAATATGTAACAGACTTTTTTCACTCCAGGGTGCAGTGTACATGTGATAGTGCTCTTGCAGTTATTTAGGCCAATCAGTGGAGGTCAAGAGAAATTAAAATGGATGCTAAACTTAACATTTTAATTCTAACGTCAAATCCATACTGCTGTATGAAGCAGAAACAGTGAACAGCAAACATTTACTAATAAACTAAAAACACTCTGCCTGCACAGAACAGAGGGGAATTAATTGTATGATAGAATTACCAGTGTAGAGTTTTGGGAGTGAACTAAACAAATTCCAGTGAATCAAGAGGTGAAGAAATGATGCTGCCCTTGGATAGGACACACACTGAGAATATATGAGAACATTAAGACTGGAACCCACTGGGACATAGAAATAAAAAGGTAAACGAAAAAACACACGGAGAAAGTAGCTAGAGAGTAAAGTTTAAAAAAAGTTCAGGAGGACATGGAGTGAGCTGCATGCAATAGCAAAAGGATAGAACGACTTGACATGAGGTGTTTGAGGGCCTTGCTCCACTGGAGGGCAGTGGGCAGAAGAAAAAGAATCAGTTATCTATAGATGAATTGGTAAATATAGCACTTATCACCTTTACTTCCCAGGGCTTTTCTTGGTGGTATCCCTTTAGGGCTGGATCCACCTCAGAGCCTAGGGCAGTTACAACAAATTCACCTTGAAGTGGATTTGGACCCGAAAACTTTGGTCCAGCAGGCAGTTGTCTAGCCAGTATTGCTGCCTAGAATTGGTTATAGCTTCAGATTTTGTTCTTCTTTGTTCATCGGCTGAAAGCTCCATCAAAAAGTCCTGGTTGTTCGTCCATTTGGATTGTGGCTTTGTGCCAGGGCCTGAGATTTGCGTGTACATCCGTTTTACTGGCTTCTTTGTGTGCAGGTGGTTGTTCCTTGCCTCTCTGGCAGATAGATATACTCTGACTTCGAAGGAAGCCCCCAGTTAGTCGACTCTTTCAACCTGCTTGTTGGGGAGGCAGTGGGTCTGTTCTTGTTTTTCCCACAATGGGTCCCAGAACCCACACAATGGGTCCCAGAACCCACACAGGTGAGGTGTGCTTGAAGTATTCTATTAATTTTTTTAAAGATACATTTGTGATCTGTGACAATGAATCTAAGACTTGTAATCTTGTAGACCTGTGATTATAATCTTAATGATAAAGTCATAGATTTGTAGCAGTAAAATCATAGACATGTAGTGGTAAAATATTAGAATCTGTAACCGTATAATCATAGCCCTGTAGTGGTAAAATTGTAGAATCTGCAACAGTAAAATCATAGACCTTTAATGATAAAATGGTAGATGTTGTTTGCGTGTGTTTCAGTTCTCATTGACAAGGACAACAGCCCACAATGGAATCCAGCAGATATTACAGAAGTCCAGCAGAAAAAAGTAGATTGGTACTTCTCTCCCCTAGAAGCTAACAGGGAATTAGTCTTGTGATGAGGGTCGACAGTTAGTCTTCCCTTGAAATGAACAGATTTTGTGATCGTAGGCAGAATTTTCAAGTTTCTCTCTCCTTGAATTGAACAGAGAACTGATTTTCTGATCTAAGGCAGATTTTTTATGTTTCTGTCCCCTTTTTCTTCTTCTCTTCTTCCACCTTGTACCTCATCAAAGTGTCGGGGGGAGATGTGATGTGACTGAAATTCATTTCTGTAAGGCTGTTCTTAATGCCCTCACTCCATATTTTCCTAGGTCTTCCACTCGCTCTATACCCGTTGTAACGTTTTAGTGTGGCTCGCTGTGGCAGATAGTACCAGGGCATTCTTGTTAGGTGTCCAAACAACTTCATTTGTTGTTCTTTGATGACCTGTAAAACTGGCTTTATTCCTAGCATTCGTCTGATTTCATGATTTTGTATTCTGTCTTTCCTTGAAACTCCTGCAGCTCTTCTAAGGCATTTCATCTCTGTTGTCACAATTTTTCGTTCATTGGAGGATGTAAGCGTCCACGTTTGGCATTGATAGCATAGCGTTGGACAAAAAATAGTTCTGATAAGGTTCACTTTAGTACTCCGAGGTATCTGCTTATGTGTCAACAGGGTCTCTCCCCTTGGTGCTAATAGAGAACTGATTTTATGATCTGAAGCAGACATTTTTCTCTAGAATAGGGCTTTTCTGTTTTGGCTGCAATGTGAAGGTGTGTTGTGTGAATTTAATTTATGTATGTGTCCGTATTTGTATATGTGGTTAGTCTAACCTCTTTGGATTGAATTACTGTGTCACAGAATTGTCTCAAAAGTGTGTCACCAGCGTGACAAATTTGAAAAGACCTGCTCTGGTTTATATCTCTACTGCCACCTCCATTTAATACAAATTTGGATCAAAACATTGCGAAGAATTTGAAATTATTATTTGTTGCAGTGGCTCAGTGGTCAACATTGTTGCCTGTCATCCAGGTTGTTGTCCGTACAATTCTTCTTTGAGTTAAGGATTTCTTCTACTGACCTGGACTTTAAGGTCAACTGATTCTAAAGTGGTTGCTGTGAAATTTCTTAGGAAGTAAAGGTGACAAGGACGACATTGACTATACATCTCACAGAGTGCTAGTAGAGCTTCAGATATGGGCTTATCACAGTATGTGTATGGCGAACGAAAGAAGAAGACAGTATGTGTATGTATGTAGATATATATATATATATATATATATATATAGCAAAGTGATTTCTTGCGGCCTCAGAATCTAGTTTTACAGAAGAATTTTTATAAGTTCTTGGAGAGTCAGAAACAGCAAACCAGATATTTTGAAAGAAGTGAGGCTCTAAGACAACCTATCACAAATATCAGGAAAAGACAGTTATCATGTTTTGGTCATGTTGTCAGAAGAAGGAAACAGGAACATGTTTTGACCACTGGAAGGATCTCTGGAAAGAGAGACAGAGGAAGACAGCGCGAGAAGATTCTTGCCAGCCTTTTTTCATTGCATGGAGGGGTGTCAACACACAAACTGATATATGCAGTTGCAGATAGCAGATTGTGGAGATGTATGATTGCCCATGCCAGTCAGCAAGGCACTTGATGATGGTATATTTATGTAAATATACAGTCTTTACTGCCCATCTCTACCAGTTTTATGTCAGTGTAGGCCCAGGTTGTGAGACTGAGTATTTAAGGCCGCATGACTAGTGCAATGACCACACACTGTACAGATTAGGTTTTTAGTTTTATTTTTAAACCCTGACTGAAAGAAATCTCCATCCTTTCTGAGGATCAGACCCAAGTTCTCCACATGCGAGCCCAGCGATCTGACCACCTGGCCAGCCACTCCTCATATGTGTGTATGTACGCACACTCAGATACACATTTTTTTTTTAAATATGTAGCTTGCACTACATGCCCCAGGCACTTCATGGCAGGAAATAGGTAGCTCTGTTTTAATCAGTGTGTAAATTGTTGATTAATGATGCTTGTTTATTTTAATCAGCGTGTTAATTGTTGATTAATGATGTTTGTTGATTTTATTTAGTGTGTTAATTCTTGATTAATGATGTTTGTTTATTTTAATCAGTGTGTAAATTGTTTATTATTGAGGTTTGTTGATCTTAATTTTTTTCTGTGCCGTTGTTAATTAATTGTTTTTGGAACACAGTGTATGGGTTCTTCCCTCACTACCCGCAACTTCCCTTTTTCATCTGTACCCCAAACAATAACTGGAAAGATCAGTGGGAAAAGGGGTAGAGGCAGACCAAGAGAGATGATGCTGGATGGGCTGAAATGATGGCATGGAGGGATATCATCAAGAGAGCTGTTTCAGGCAACCGGAGAATCATGATCTGTGGAGACTCATGAGCGCCTACGCCAGTGGGCAGGGCACATAATGATAATGATGACCCCAAACAAACCAGAATATTAGTTGTGTCTCCTATACAGGACGTTGCAGAACCGACCCCAGCATTTTGTGACAGTTGTGATTTTTCTAGGCAAAGTTTATGTTGACTAGTTTGTCATTGCACCCAAAACAAGAATGTTATAAACTTCGACAAATTAGGTGTATTTGTTTCCAAGTCAGAGTGCATATGCCTGAAATGCGATAAACCAACAGTCTGCATACAAATAAGTCGGATCTGTAAAACAAATCTGCACACAAAACTCAAGTTCCAGAACAAGACCAAAGTCCAGAAACGGACAAATAACCAGAACTTTCTGCCAGAGTTTACCACTGGTGAAAGGCTACAATGATGAAAAATAAATTGTTGACAGTAATCATTTTGTAAAAAGATTAATGAGTATGTGATCAGTGGATGATATTCAATGATCTCAAAAGAATACACATGATAAACCTGACTTGAATTCCTGTTTACTCTGATAATTTTTACAACTGTTTACATTTATAAATGTTCCTCAATATTTGTTTTGTCACCATCTGTGTTTCCTATATGTTTGAGTATTTCAGTATATTTATGCAGACAGATGCAAAATGCCATCAAAAACATATATACCAATATATGTAACCACAACACACTGGCCTGTTTAGTCCATGAGAGGGATTTCCCCAAACACATCCTTGAAAGTTTGAACAATGGGAGAGGGATTTCCCCAAACATATCCTTGAAAGTTTTTGAACAATAGGAAAGGGATTTCCCCAAAAACATTGCTACCTGCCTTCAATGAAAGTTTGAACAATGGGAGAGGGATTTCCCCAAAAACATTGCTACCTAGCGACTGCTGAAAATACCTCTTTTTCCACATTCACCTTAAAATGATGGTTAGTACCTTGTCTGACACTTACAGCCCAACACATCTGATTTCAGAAATACCCTCTAGTCACATTTACAACGGCCTTGTTAAGGGCTGCAGACATGGTATTACTCACTTATACAGGTGTGAGAAATGACCGCTCATAACCCTTTTTACGCCAGTATTCATGGGTAAACAATCTTAACTATCCACCAGCCCGGAAGCTCAGTCATCACTTAGTGACACAGCAATCTCAAGTTTGAACTGATCCACTAAACAAGAAGCAGATTATGTACGGATGCGCCACAGAACTCCGGCATATTGCTGGTCCATGATGTTAATGTTGAGCTGACATCCAGCCCGGGCGTGCCAGTCACACGTCTGCAGTTTTGGGTTGAAGTGCAGGTCATGTCGGGGGCACTGCATGACGTACGGGTGGCCCCAGACACAGGACACGTACAGGGTGCACTCGGCCGGGTGTGGCACCAGGCCACTCTGTGACTTGCCACACGTGAATTCTGAAATGAAATATCTTCTGTTATCCAATTAATAGAATACATGGTGTCTCATAACTGTCGATACATTGGAAAAATCAATACATCATCATCATTATGTGCCGTGTCGGTAAGCGTAGGCTGTCATGTTTTGTTATCTCACATGATCACGAAAATGACGTATCAGTTCAATGTTTTTGTCTCACTCCATCCTTCTGGCCAGGCTGTCCAGGTATTTATCTCTTTGCCTACCTCTTGCTCTCTTTCAGTCTTGCCAGTTGTTACCTAATTCTTGGGTCTATTCTTTCTCACAACAGGTCCAGAAACATTGACACACTGACTGTCTACGTAACATTGACACACTGACTGTCTACCTAACATTGAAACACTGACTGTTAACGTAACATTTACACACTGACTGTTTATGTAACATTGACACACTGTCTACGTAACATTGACACACTGACTGTCTACGTAACATTGACACACTGACTGTCTACGTAACATTGACACACTGACTGTCAATGTATGTCTACGTAACATTGACACACTGACTGTCTACGTAACATTGACACACTGACTGTCTACGTAACATTGACACACTGACTGTCTACGTAACATTGACACACTGACTGTCTACGTAACATTGACACACTGACTGTCTACCTAACATTGACACACTGACTCTCTACGTAACATTGACGCACTGACTGTCTACGTAACATTGATGCACTGACTGTCTACGTAACATTGACACACTGACTGTCTACATAACATTGACACACTGACTGTCTACATAACATTGACACACTGACTGTCTACATAACATTGACACACTGACTGTCTACATAACATTGACACACTGACTGTCTACGTAACATTGACACACTGACTGTCTACGTAACATTGACACACTGACTGTCTACGTAACATTGACACACTGACTGTCTACATAACATTGACACACTGACTGTCTACGTAACATTGACACACTGACTGTCTACGTAACATTGACACACTGACTGTCTATGTAACATTGACACACTGACTGTCTACGTAACATTGACACACTGTCTACATAACATTGACGCACTGACTGTCTACGTAACATTAACACACTGACTGTCTACGTAACATTGACACACTGACTGTCTACGTCTGATTGTTCTAATAAAGTGATGACCAATGAGGACTGCTTCATTCATTTTTCTATCCCTCCATGATATTGTTGGCATTTTTCCCAGAAACCACATGTCTGTGAGTGAATGTTTGTCTGCTTGTTGTCCATGTTAGCTAGGTTGTGATATCTGCTGCACATTTCAGGCCAGCACATGTGATTTCAGCACATGAATCAGCAGCAGCAAATCACATGGTTTGTCAACTTGGAGAGAATGCCTTTTGATGCTATACCATTCAAGGCATACACCAAAAGAGGAGAGGGACATAGAGCAAGAGGTAGATCAAGAACACTATGGAAGGATATCATCAGAGAAAGTTTACAGTACCACGATGTGTCTTTGATCGAAGCAGCTAGAAAAGAACGAAGCAGGACCTCATATCTCCCTGGACATCTGAAGCGGTTAAAGAGGATAAGAAGAAGAAGAAGAAACACCTTTGACATCATGATTGTTGAGGAACAGTGGGTGTATTCCCCAAAGTCAGACCCAAAACCCACATGGAGAACAAAATATAGAGACCATTCAGCCAGTGGCATTTGGGACATATGATGCTAAACCCTTTTTTTATAGTCAGACATGCATCCAGTGGAAGCTTTGTTTAACTAATATGCCAGCCACCTTTACTTCCCAGGATAATATATGATGTTTCTATGAAACTCTTTTTGTCCATTAATCAATCAGTCAGGGGCCGTCTCCACAATGGAGGTTGGTTGCAATGGTTCTCCAACACTCTCCATCTCTTCTCTTGGTTGTACACTCTCTCCAGTCGCTGTTTATCCACTTCTTGATGGTGTCTTCCCACTTGTATCGTTATCTAACTCTTGTAATGGTTCTCCACGCTCTCCATCTCTTCTCTTGGTTGTACACTCTCTCCAGTCGCTGTTTATCCACTTCTTGATGGTGTCTTCCCACTTGTATCGTTATCTAACTCTTGTAATGGTTCTACACGCTCTCCATCTCTTCTCTTGGTTGTACACTCTCTCCAGACGCTGTTTATCCACTTCTTGATGGTGTCTTCCCACTTGTATCGTTATCTAACTCTTGTAATGGTTCTCCACGCTCTCCATCTCTTCTCTCTCCAGCCGCTGTTTATCCACTTCTTGATGGTGTCTTCCCACTTGTATCGTTATCTAACTCTTGCAATGGTTCTCCACGCTCTCCATCTCTTCTCTTGGTTGTACACTCTCTTCAGCTGCTGTTTGTCCACTTCTTGATGGTGTCTTCCCACTTGTATCATTATCTAATTCTTGCTGTGTGATTACACTCTTTGTTATTCTATGGTGCTGGCTTCGATTCAAGCTGTGGGTGATTTGTCGGCAGACCATTTTGCATTGGTTTCGACAGTCATATCGAGAGCAATATGTTCAGAGCAATGGCAAACTACTAAACATAAAATTGCTTAGCAAATTCACAAACAGTGCGTGAGTGGAGAAGGCAGAATGGAGATTACAGACCAGAGAGTGACAGCATAAACAAACTCAACAGGAAAGAACAAACAACAATTTTTAGACTTCGGACTGGACACTGGTCTTCGAGCACACTTGTACAGGACAGACATAAAAGAATCTACTGCCTGTGATTGTGGAACAGAAAGACAGACCCCTGGGCACATACTACAGTACTGCCATAACCTCTCCCAGCAAAGACTGTGGATCTGGCCCAAAGCAGCCACATTGCAAGAGGAGCTATGGGGGACCTTTATTGCAGTCCTATTTGTGACCCAGACGGGACTCAATGTTTAGTATGACAGATGTCGAACACAGAAGAAGAAGAAGAAGAAGAAAAGCATGACAGATGTCGAACGCAGAAGAAGAAGAAGAAGAAACAAACAGCCAAACAAATTCTGGTGTTGGTTCTTCAACGTACTGTAAAGAACACACAACTAACTTTATTATTAACTAGTCGATTTTTACAGCATGATATTTGTTGGGGAGGCAATGGGTCTTTTAGTCCCCTTCCCCCACCCCTCCCCCAATGGGGCCCGGAACCCACTGGGGAGACATTGACTCTTGACAACATCGGCATCACTTACCACACCTGTCCCCAAAGGCCTGCTGACAACGGCACAAAGGCTTCTGATCCTGACCCAGGTAGCAAACTCCCCGCCCAGAGCAGTAGCTGGTCGAGCAGACGCCAGGCTTGCCTGACCATACATGGCAGTAGTGACCCTGCCAACCTGGCAGGCAGTGGCACGTGAAGGAATGGGGCGGTACTTCTCTGGTAGGATGGTTCCAGATACATAGAATATTTTCATTTCACAAAAACAAAGGGTCTAGATAAATCATGCATGTGGTTTGTATTTCTTTAGTAATCCTGTTTGTTGCTGTTGTTTCAATTCTTCTTCTTCTTCTTCTTCGCGCTCACCAGCTGTAAACTCCGCGGAAAGTTCTGGTTGTTCGTCCACTTCTGGACTGCAGTTTGTTCCAGAACCTGAGTGTCGAGTGTACATCCATTTTATATATCTGACTCATTTGTATGCAGACTGCTGGTTCCTTGCCTCTCAGGCAGATGCACTGACTTCGAAGGAAGCTCCCAGTTAGTCGACTCTTACGACATGCTTTTGAGTAGGCAGGGGGTCTATTGTTGTTGTCCCTATAATAGGGCCCCGGAACCCACATGAGAAGTTTGTTTCACTACAACAGTGTGATTTGTTGCTAACACCCATTTTATGTGTGCATGGTTTTCAAATACTTTCAGAGATTAGTGTTATGTTATCAGTGTTGCTGTTGTTATCTTATCGGTGTTGCTGTTGCATTTTTTATTGCTACTTCTTCTTTATGCGTATAATAATTTTACTGTATCATTGACCCTGGTGTTTCGCATCACTGTTAGATTTATACTCTATAAAATGTCTCTCTGGGAATTGCATCATTCATATGTCATTTTAAGGTATTCAGCATGGCTTCATTAATTTTTTTTATCCCCCCGCCCTTTTTTTTTAGATATCTTTCCATCCTCTATTCAAGATTCGTTTCGTAACAGCTTTTCCTGTTCCCACTTTTCACATGTCTGCTTTATTTTCTTTAGGTGATTCCCCTTTGGATTCTTAGGTTATGATTCTTCTTTTTCTGTAATTATTGAAAAAGATATTGGTCGAAACGTTCACTTGTTTCTTGGCACCTGATTTGGCTGACCTCCTGGCTGTGTGTCCTAGCCATAGTTTGTGTCTAGTGAATTGACTTCTTAATTACTTACATACAGGTTGCCATATTTCTGCAAGGGGAAGACAGACAGGACCCACGTGACTTGATTTCACAGTTATCTCCCGTAAACGGTCCTTGACATCTGCAAAAGACAATAACACACAGAAGAAACGTTTAACTTGTTTCCTACCTATTGTAGTCCCTTCCAAGAATCGTGCCCAAGTTTTAAAATCTATCACTCAGTAACCATTCATTGTAAGTTGTGCGTATGCAGTACACAGATTGTCATGTCCTTGTAGGAAAATACTTGTTATGAAAATGAATACCGAGTTTTTTTATGTTGTCTTAATTGTGGTTTTTGAAGGGGAAAAGAACAGATACCGATTCAAAGAATACAGTCAGCATGTTGCAGTAAATAAATTGACGTGAACTTTGCAAAAACATCAAGTTGCCTACGTTTTGGAAGTAAGCCGTGAGAAAAACTAAGGTGCGGTTGATTGGCTCCTCAGAACGATTTATGTCAGTTACTCTATATATGTTAAGGGATAGAACGAACGAACGAACTTTATTTTCAAAGGGTCACAAATTGGGCACGCAGGCCCGTCTTACATTCGGCCCTTCCAGTCAACCATCTTTCGCACAGCAGTTGTATTTTACTAATAAAGCATGTTATGATCATTTGATGTTATGCATATTATGAATATTATAAAAGAACACAAAAGCATGAGTTGTAAAGTGCATGCAAAAACCCGCGCGTGCATGCATACACCCACATACACACGCTCACCCAATCACTTACACGCACAAACATGCATGCATACATTACGTACACACATACATACATACATACAAACATGCATACACACATACACACAGGAATACGTACACACAAACATAAATACATAGATACAAACATACAGGCATACATACATACATTCATACATACATACGTAATACAGGCATACACACATAAAGTCATAAATACAGTCATGCATGGAGACACACACATGCACACACGGACACTCCCACAGACACACACACACACTCAGACAAAAATACAGACACACACACAGACACTTACATATAAACACACACAGGGAAACACACAGCACACATATTTACATTCGTGCTCACACACTGACACACACACCACAAGTACGCAGACACATACATATAGTCACATAGACACACACGCAGTCAAACACACACACACACAAATACAGACAAACAGGCAGACAAACACATACTGACACCCACAGAGACAAACACGCAGAAATGCATACACATACAAACATATAGAAATACACACGCAGACACATATATTCAGCACGCACAGACATATACTCTGACATGCAGACACATACAGACAACAAAGGGGCACACACAACACACACACACACAGAGAAACACACATAGACATGCACAGACAGACAGACACTTGATAAGTCCCACAGAGGAAGACATGAATAGACGGTGTATCTAAATTGTGCAAAAGACAAAAGGAGGAGGAAGAAGAAGTCTATTCGTTTGAAAGCAGTGTGACGGGCTGATGACACAAGAAGAAAACGAAAAGAAAAAGAGACAGATGTGGAAATGGGACTGCTACCAACTCCTTATACAGACATTACTTAACACGGAAACTCATAGCACTGCATAGTGAATCTACAACCATAGTCAGACTGCAAGAACAGCAAGTTAAACGAAGTGTCGCCAAACAAGAAGACCTCGCGGGTAGCCAAAGAAGAAGAATAAACCAATACAGAACTGGTGTCGTCAGCCGCTACACGCTGCGGGATTGACTGAGGAGGGAATCCGAGCACTTATGGACTGAATGCTTCCACGTGCAGGGAGGATAATCTGTCAACTAACTGACATCGTCATCATCATCATGTGCCCTGCCAACTGGCGTAGGCACTCATGCATCTCCACAGATCACGATTCCTGGTTGCCTGGAACAGCTCTCTTGATGATTTCCCTCCATGCCATCGTTTCAGTCCATTCAGCATCATCTCTCTTGGTCTGCCTCTACCCCGTTTTTCCACTAATCTTTCCAAGTTTCAAGATGTTCTCTAATGTCTCCCTTCTCATTATGTGGCCAAAGAACAGTGTTTTGTCTCTTTCTTATTGTTGTATATAGAGATTTACTTTCATTAGCCTATTTCAAGCAATCGTTGTTAGTTATTCTGGCCGTCCAAGGTATTCGTATCATTCGTTTCCGAAACCACATCTCTGTTGCTTCAAAATTCTTACTAATTTGTTCACTGACATTCCAAGTTCGCTTCCATACAACAAAACAGGTTCTATGTACATCTTAGCACGCTCTTTCTGACTAACTGACATAGTACTCTTAAAGCGTTGCATCGCCAGTTGGTTCTCTGGGTCTGCGCTCGTCAAACCGTTGACACCCGCGGCTCACCAAAACAGGAGAAATTGTGTTACGGACAACATGGTAGACAACAATTGATAGAAACGAACGGTTTTAACCACCGGTTGCCCTAATATAACTTGAAGGCGCTTTCACGGGGTTAAAGGATTAGTATCGTTTTTGTTTTCACAATTTAGGTTGAATCCTTCAGACTGTAGTCGTGGAAGTGTCAAACTGACTGACCTACCTAGTTACACGAAAAGGCAAACAAGGTCCCGTGGCGAAGTGTTCAAGTGGTCAAACCGTTTGCCTTTCGCTCGTGGGTTCGTTTCACAGCGGCGCCGTTCATTTCAAACGTGCAACTTTTATAGGGATAGTCACCGGAGCTACGGAGGTCATGCTATGTGCAACGCTGTCGGCAGGCAGCTAATTGTTCTGCAGCGAGAGACTTCCATGTGAGATAAACCCGGTGCAATAAAGTCGATCCTCTCAACTTGGCCTTGTTTACCTTCACCTTGACCAGCGGGTAAAGGTCACGGGTCTAGACTTCAGGCAGCATGCGCCAGTAAACAGAACAACACTTACTTGCACTCATAACCTTTGACCCCACTGCTGACGGTGCACCGACCACTGTTCTCACATGGGTTCGGTGTGCAGGGATCCCTGGGTCGGATCTGGCAACTTTTGCCGGCGTAGCCAATCGGGCAGAGGCAGTAGGCCGAGGGCGTAGCCAGGGGACGGTAGACACAGGTGCCACCGTTGATGCAGATGATGTGGATCGCACAAGGGTCGCTGACCACCTCACACAATCTCCCGGACACGCCCATGGGACACACGCAGACTGGCATTCCTATGTTAGATGATAATATGTTATGCATTGTTTATACGTCTAAAACACGCAAGAATGAATGTTTGACTTTTATTATTATTATTTGAATCATCGTCATCTTCATGTGCCCTGTCAACTATCGTGGGCTCTCGTACATCTCCAGAGATCATGATACCTGGTTGGCTGGAACAACTCTGTTGATGATCGTTTCAGCCCATCCAGCATCATCTCTCTTGTTCTGCCTCTATCCCTTTTTTTTTCACTGATCTTTCCAGTGGTCACGATGTTTTCCAGTGTCTTTCTTCTCATTATGTGGCCAAAGAACAGTGTTTTTCCCTTTCTTATTGCTGTATATAGAGATCTACTTTCATTGGCTTCTTTAAACAATCGTTGTTAGTTACTCTAGCCGTCCAAAGTATTCGTAACATTCGTCTCAGAAACTACATCTCTGTTGAGTCCAAATTCTTCTTAATTTTTCACTGACATGCCAGGGTTCGCTTCCATACAGCAGAACAAGTTCTAAGTAACATTTTAGGACTCTCTTCGTTATTTGTATAGTTGACTATATGGTCAACTGATAGACACAAGAGATAGTGTCACGACCTTTGTTCTTTCTTGTGTCCAAGTACTTATGCCGCAGGGTTATTCAACTGGTGGCCCGCAGAGACCTAGCAAGTGGCCCGCGGATGTTGTATTAATGATCTTTCTGTGCTGATACTCGGCTTCTGGTCCTTGATGGTCTCCATTAGCAAAATGTTGGCTCTTCGGCAAACTAAGGGGAATAACCCTTCCGTCAAGCGTCGCAGAGAGTCGTTTCACAAAGTCTGTCAGTTACCTAGCTAGTGCTTGTGTCATTTCGCGTTTCTGTATTGTCTCTTTAAATGCCTTCACCCATGTCTCTCTTGGTCATCCTCTTGTCTTGTAGCCTGCAGTTCTCATGTAGTACGCTCTAGCTGCAGGCTGATTTGGTTCCATTATGACCAGGTGATCATGCCATTTGATTCTTTGATGTTCTATCAAATCATTGACCTCAGTTGTTGGAGACCACTAGTTTAGACATTTTACTGTGAAAAGTCTTGTCCAAATGTAGCTTCTCTTTATTCTGGGTTTTGTCACAAACGGCTTCAGCTGACCGACCGTGCTGCTGACGTCAACGGGGACGCAGCGGTTCTCAAACAAGAAAAAAACTATTTTCGACAGTGGCGAGAAAAGATAACTTAAATTTTAATTTATAAGTATCTACTTGCCTTCTTTAATCATTTCACAATTTGTAGCCGTTTTTCTTGATCATTGCCGCGGCACCTCTGGCAGGCGCTCACGGCACCCCAGGGTGCATCTGCACCCAGTCGGAGAACCACTGATTTACCGCATTGTTCGCCCGACCCGGTGTCGTCAGCAGCACGTCCCGTCAGCTGGAACCGGTCGTGATGTTGTCCTGTACATGGTCGACCTCTAGTACCACACTACAACACTATCGTCTTGACAATGCTGGAGCCGGTCGTGATGTTGTCCTGTACAAGGTCGACCTCTAGTACCACACTATCGTCTTGACAATGCTGGAGCCGGTCGTGGTGTTGTCCTGTACAAGGTCGACCTCTAGTACCACACTATCGTCTTGACAATGCTGGAGCCGGTCGTGATGTTGTCCTGTACAAGGCCGACCTCTAGTACCACACTATCGTCTTGGCAATGTTGGAGCCGGTCGTGATGTTGTCCTGTACAAGGTCGACCTCTAGTACCACACTATCGTCTTGACAATGCTGGAGCCGGTCGTGGTGTTGTCCTGTACAAGGTCGACCTCTAGTACCACACTATCGTCTTGACAATGCTGGAGCCGGTCGTGATGTTGTCCTGTACAAGGCCGACCTCTAGTACCACACTATCGTCTTGGCAATGTTGGAGCCGGTCGTGGTGTTGTCCTGTACAAGGCTGACCTCTAGTACCACACTATCGTCTTGACAATGTTGGAGCCGGTCGTGATGTTGTCCTGTACAAGGCTTACCTCTAGTACCACACTATCGTCTTGACAATGTTGGAGCCGGTCGTGATGTTGTCCTGTACAAGGTCGACCTCTAGTACCACACTACAACACTATCGTCTTGACAATGCTGGAGCCGGTCGTGATGTTGTCCTGTACAAGGTCGACCTCTAGTACCACACTATCGTCTTGACAATGCTGGAGCCGGTCGTGATGTTGTCCTGTACAAGGCCGACCTCTAGTACCACACTATCGTCTTGACAATGTTGGAGCCGGTCGTGGTGTTGTCCTGTACAAGGCTGACCTCTAGTACCACACTATCGTCTTGACGATGCTGGAGCCGGTCGTGATTTTGTCCTGTACAAGGTCGACCTCTAGTACCACACTATCGTCTTGACAATGTTGGAGCCGGTCGTGATGTTGTCCTGTACAAGGCTGACCTCTAGTACCACACTATCGTCTTGACAATGTTGGAGCCGGTCGTGATGTTGTCCTGTACAAGGTCGACCTCTAGTACCACACTACAACACTATCGTCTTGACAATGCTGGAGCCGGTCGTGATGTTGTCCTGTACAAGGTCGACCTCTAGTACCACACTATCGTCTTGACAATGCTGGAGCCGGTAGTGATGTTGTCCTGTACAAGGTCGACCTCTAGTACCACACTATCGTCTTGACAATGCTGGAGCCGGTCGTGATGTTGTCCTGTACAAGGCTGACCTCTAGTACCACACTACAACACTATCGTCTTGACAATGCTGGAGCCGGTCGTGATGTTGTCCTGTACAAGATTGACATCTAGTACCACACTATCGTCTTGACAATGCTGGAGCCGGTCGTGATGTTGTCCTGTACAAGGTCGACCTCTAGTACCACACTATCGTCTTGACAATGCTGGAGCCGGTCGTGATGTTGTCCTGTACAAGATTGACATCTAGTACCACACTACAACACTATCGTCTTGACAATGCTGGAGCCGGTCGTGATGTTGTCCTGTACAAGATTGACATCTAGTACCACACTATCGTCTTGACAATGCTGGAGCCGGTCGTGATGTTGTCCTGTACAAGATTGACATCTAGTACAACACTATCGTCTTGACAATGCTGGAGCCGGTCGTGATGTTGTCCTGTACAAGATTGACATCTAGTACCACACTACAACAGTATCGTCTTGACAATGGGAAGAGAGCCAACATGGAGCTGATGTATTTTCATCTTCTTGGCGAATTCTGTCCTGTGTTTCTGATATACTTATTATAATAATGACTAACTTCTAATCAGTTATTTATATGTTTTGGCTCTTTACAGTCCGTTAAAATGAACTGGATATACACTTTGTTGTCACACTATGTGTATACACTTCTGCTGCTTTTTCTTTGATTCTTCTTCTTCTTCTTCATCTTCTTCTTCTTCTTCTTTTTCTTCTTCTTCTTCTTCTTCTTCTTCTCCTTCTTCTTCTTTTTCTTCTTCTTCTCCTTCTTCTTTGTCCTCCTCCTCTTCTTTGTTGTTATTTTCATTATCTGATGAAACTTGAGATAGGCACATAATAACGGGACACCATAGTTAAGTAAAAATAATCAAACAGGAAACAGTGACGTTACCTCTGGATATGACGCAGCTGCCGCCGTTGAGGCACACATTACGTGTGCAGGCACTGATAGCGTTCGGTGCTGCCATCTGACACCTGTCCCCTAGCCATCCCGCCTGACAGCGGCAACTGCCAGCATCATTTCCCCCATCTACACAAACTCCACCGTTGAGGCACACGGCCCCATCACACGGCGATTGTCTGCTGGCATGCTCACACCGCATCCCCTCGAAACCTGCTCTACAGGAACATCGTGGCAGAGAGATCCCGCCCTGTGAAGTCATCATCCCAGGGATGCAAATACCACCATTCAAACATGGAACCAGGTCACAGGCTAAGGCGGTCTCGCAAAAGCGACCCACAAACCTAGATAGACAAAGGCAGTAAGGCTGTCCTCGAGTGTCTCTTTGGCAAGTTCCTCCGTTCAAACAGCTCAGATCACCACAATCTAACACGGTCTGACAGAAATCTCCTGTGAAACCGTAAGGACAGGAACAGACCACTTCTTGACGATCTGAAGTATGACGTCCTGGCAATCGTACACTGTGTGGCAGACATTCTCCGTTGTTGAGACAAGGTCGAGTCGTGCAGGATGCTTGCTGACATCGCGGTCCCACGTAGCCAGCTGGGCAGCTACAGCGGGCGCTGATCCCTGTAGCAGAGTTCTCTTGGAAGCAAGTACCGTTATTCAAACAGGAGTGACCTTGACACACATCTAACCTATCGCACATTCTTCCCGTGTAGCCTTCAGGACACGTGCACACGTAGGCCGGTGTTGAGGGGGTTCCCGCTGAAGGAGATTTTGTCGAGAACGAACAAACTCCATTGTTACGGCAAGGGTTTGAAGAACACGGATTGTTAACTTCACAATCATTTGATGCTGCGGAAGAACTTGGACAACGACAGATAAACGTATTCAGTGCTGGGATAGGGATGCACATTCTTCCAGCTGGACAGGCACTAGTGGTACAAGGGTCTTCAGTTTCACAGTTTGCTCCGAGATAACCAGCATCACATACACATAAGTAGTTCCTTCCTTCAGAGCTGCACGGGCGCCCTCTGCTACACGCCTGGCACAGTCCATGTGGACCACAGGGAGAGATAGAAGCAGCATGCCCCGGACAGTCTGTACGGTTCAAACACACACTTGAAGTCAGGGTAATACAGGGGTTTCTTGTTTCACAAAAATCTCCATGAAATTCATCTGGACACACACAGACTGTAGAGTTTCTAGAAGAATAGCAAGATCCGCCATGTTGACAAGGCTGAGAGCTACATGTGTCCAGCAAACGGTTCTCGCAGGTTCTGCCTGTGTACCCTGCCGGACATGCGCAGAAGAAAGAACTGCCAGATGGAAAACATGATCCAGAATTCAAACAGGGATTATTACTACACTCATCTTGAACTCTTGTTTCACACAGGGAACCAGTCAATCCCCGCGGACAAACACAGACATAAGTAGACGCTGATTCATAGCAAGAACCACCATTTTGACACGGATTTGAACTACAAGGCGTCGAATCTTGGCAGTTTGTGCCAGAAAAACCTGGGTTACATCGACAAAAGTAAGAGGCTCTGTCGGGGATACAAGTGCCACCCTGTAGACAAGGGTTGCTACTGCAGGGTACAATGACGTCGCAAATATTGCCTCTAAACCCTGCGGGACACGTACACACAAACGAGTGGCTAAGACTGCTCCCACTGTGTCTACACGTGCCACCGTTTAGGCAAGGATTGGTGGAGCAAGCATCGGTGCTGTGCTCACATCGAGGTCCCCAATATCCCATAGTACACTCACAGGAATAATTGTTGAGCTGATGAACACATGACCCTCCATGCAAACATGGGCTTGGAAAGCATGGATTAGGAACCTGGCAACGGTCTCCCGTGTAGTGAAGATGGCAGTTGCAGGTGAATCCATCGCTGTTCGACTGGGGCATACAGTGCCCATGTTCACCGCACGGACTGGTCGCGCATGGGGTGTAAGTGTCGCAATTTTTACCGGCGTACGGACCAACACACTGGCATATATAGTCTCCGCTACTGCTGTCGAAACATCTAGCGTTGTTCATACAAGGGTTGCTGTCAC